AAAAATGAGTCAACATAGAGGAAAAAGATAGTAAATGTGAATAGCTAGTGTAAGACTTGGTTTATACAAATGAATTTTTAAAACCTAATCACTGCCCACATTAATTTTGGATATTAATTTATTAGCATTTATTTAAGTCAGAATACATATATGCATTTCATAAATGTAAAGTATATCCAGCTTCATCTGCATTACTATGTGTGTTTTCATGTTGGAAAATGAGATAAATCCTTATATTGATGTGGCTGTGAAATGGAGATTTCTACAGACCCATTTTATGAATAGAAGTATTATCTTGATTTCCTAGTAAAACTTATTTATTATTAAACACATATGTATTTGTTTTTTTTCTAGTCTAAAAGTGCTTATAAAATGGCAATTAAAATGTTAGTAGTATTTTTAATCTATCTAATCTTTTCTGGTCTTTTATGTTCCATCTTCTCAAATGTAACAGATGTCACAGCTATACACAACAAAGCAGAAACTTTTTCTTCTGGACATATCAGGATAATGTGAGTGGAAAGATACAAGCAAAATCCATGTCCCATTCAGGTGAGATTTGATGCTCTCATGCAGGACAGACAAATCAGTTATGATACTGAAATACTGTATTAATATTTCTATTAATATTTAAAATTAAGCAGATTTGTTTAGATATTAGTGTGCAAATGATTTGCTTAGACAATATTTCAACAAAGTACATTTTTCTGCAAAATACTTTTTTTCATCCACTTTTCCTTGTCTTGTTTTATTGTAAAATGGCAAAAGAATATGTTCAAAAGTAAACTCGGTAACCAAATGTTGCAAATGTCACAAATGTCAAGCTATCCAGTGATGTTTTGCACTAAATGCTTAATTTGATCTCTCTACAGTGTTGGTTTAGTCACTCATATAGAAGCCAAACACCAAGCAATACAAAAGATGTTCTAAAAATTTGAAACTTCTTATAGTCAACAAGAAGTCCAGAAATTAAATTCAGCCTCCAGTAAATAAGATGCATTTATGGATGGAAATTCCATTAAAATAAGATAAACCAATATGCAAGTATTGATCAGGAAGTTGGAGACAACTGTTGGTGGGCAGATGAAAGAGTGAAAGCAGTACATAATTCCCTTAATTCAAACCATTGTCTTGAAACAACATTTTCTGTCTATCCTTTGAGGCCACTACATTGCAGCCCAGTGAGACCTTTCAGATATTGCTCCTACATTGCTTTGGAATGGGTGTACTATAGGAAAATTTGTAATTGGAAATTTTGACTGCTGCTTATTTTTTCAGTTTTTTGTTTTTTTATAGATAGATAATTTCATAGCCACCTTTTAATTCATTGGCAGGTCTTGAAAGATCTTAAGAAGCCACTGATAATAGTCCACTATCTTTTTAGTTCAAACCAGTGGTAGATAAGACTGGAAGAGCAGAGGAATCACACAGAGCAACACATTACTTTCTGCAATTAATAAGCAGTTTGCTGAAACAGCACTTCAGAACACTGTGATTTTGGCTTTATGGCTAATTATTTACATACTGTGTCTTTTAGGACATATATTTTTTATTATATTGACTCATTTCACCAAGAAACATCTTGCAAATGGCTTATCTTAAAATACAGGATATATGGTAAAGGAAAGTCAAGTGAATATATTGCCAGAAAGAAACACTTAACTGAATAATGTCAGTAGTGAAGTCTAATGGTACAATTTTTATACAAAAATGTAAAACTATCAATTAAGAGGAAGGGAAGATTAAAATAAATACATGTTAAAAAATTCCAATGAATTTTTTTTTCCGACTGTTGAGGAAGTTGCTGATCTTGGCGCACTGCAGAGACACCAGTGAAGCAGTCCTGAGACAGCAATATTTCATTACTGACAGAAAAAAGGATTGCTGGAGAAGAAAATAGGATAATTTTAATTTCCCAGATATCCAATCCTTGTGAGGAGACCATGACATTAATACAAGCATTGTGACTTTAACATGGCTGAATGCCAAGACTTTCTGAAACCAATTATTGGCCATCTCCTTTTGCTGATCATGTTCATGAATAAAAAGTTAGCAGATTACATGGTATAATATTCTTCAGTGGGAAGTGTGGGCAGAGCATAAGTCTGTTCTGTTCTTCAGGATGATCTATTGTAAGTAGCAAAGTAGAAAAGGAATTAAAAGACTAAACATGCCAAAAATTGTGTCTTAGCTTTTGGAAAAAGGCATGCTGGTAACAAACTGCAGTGATCTCCATCCTATAAATATTTCCATATGGGCCATTTATATTAAGATAAGTATTAAACTTTTTTGTTCCAATATCTTTATATTCAGCCTGTTTGTATCCATGCTTTACTTCTCTCATGTGTAACACTAATGAGATTATAAATAGTGTCATCACAGTTTTTCTTCAGGTGGCAGTGCAGCTGTTAAGAAATGTACTGATTACAAAGCCATATCCACTTTGAACACTAAGTGGTGCTATCATATTAAATATTGCAATTCACTCTTCCCCCTTGGAAACAGGTTGTACCACCTGATAAACCCCATCACTTTTTAGTTATTAGATTGCAATTACAGTTATGGTCCTAGTACTAATGGTGGTATCATTTTTAGTGTCATTATTATAGTATTGTGCATCACTAAAACTTTGTGAAACCACAGACCAAATACGTAAAGTAGCTGTATTGTGCTTATTGTCTGTGCAACTCTAGCATTGAGTAAATGCAGTCAAGTAATGAATTACAGTAGATGTTTTTATATAAACAGATGAAAAACAAGACTATTGTGTAAGGATGCTTTTGGATGACCTATTTCAATTTAATATAACAAATGATGCATTTAGTATTAATTTAGCCTTCTGTGTTGTAAGAAAATCTATTGGTTGTATAATGCATGTTAGTTTTAAAAACACTGTCATTATTTGATGACTACCTAATATTCATTCTATGAATATCACAGGGCTACATGACTATTCCAGTAATATATATGGAAATATTACAGATTTCAACATAGATAAAGCATTCAGAAAGTAATTGCGCATCATCACTAAAATGTGGAAATTATGAAGAAAAGAAAAAAAAAGGGGGAAAGAAAAAATCGAAAAAGGGGAAAATTCCCTTTATTTGGGTTGAGTTTTGATAGATGAGGAAAAGAGAAAATTTTCCTCTGCATGTTATCTCTTTCAGCTTAATATTAAATTTCAAATACATGCAGAAATCTAAAGGATTTCATTTGTAGTCACCGAAATCAGGTGTGTTCCTGTACTAAGTTACAGCCCCCAAGATGCACCAAAGATTTATGAACATTAGAACAAAGGAATCGATGCAGACAATGTGCCCAGGCCACAGCAGGAGGCCTTCAGGAATAGGAAGCACCGATTGTGAGAAGTGCTGGAAAGCGGCGGTAGACTGGCGTTTTACCTGAAGGACCAAGCATTTTAACTTAAACTTAGTTGCAGCTGGTGATCTGCAAGGGGTTTAAATACACATTGTGAAAACGATGATCTATGGCATTTTAACTTAAACTTAGTTGCAGCTGGTGATCTGCAAGGGGTTTAAATACACATTGCTTAGTGCTCTTCAGGTGCTGATGTCCCCCATAAAATCTGCACAAATTATCGTCTGTTGTCCACATCCAGAATTCTGCAAGGGGGACATACTCTCTAAACAAGAACGTAACTCCTCTGAGACATCTCACTGAGTAATGTATCACATAAAACACCTCTCACTAAGCTGCAAACTAGCTAGTTTTTCATTGCAGGTTTCCAAGAGAGATTCAGAAGGCATTAGACTTAGTCATCAGTAGAAAAAAACACACGTAAATGCTTGTAAAAGCTCATAAGGCAAATTGTATTATGTTACCACCTTGAATTACAGCCAAGGACACCACGACTTCCTCTCGGAAACCCGTTTAGCATTGGACGTGAATGGATAGCAGAGGGAAGTGTGGCTTTGCGCTTACTGGAACGGACCCACGCGCGACACGGGAAGGGCAGGAGCGGGGGCCGTGGCCGCCCCTCGCTCTCCATCGTCCCGGCCCCAGCCCCGCCCCGGCTCCCGCTGCCGGCGCGCCCCGGGGCTGCCGCTGCCCGTCCCCGGCGGCGGTAGGGCCGCGCTGTGACTCCCGCCGGGACTGCAGGTCGGGCGGGAGCCGCGGGACGGCCTCCCGGCGGAAAGGCGCCGCGCCGCCTCCGCGTTTCTGCGCGGCCGGCAGCAGCTCCGCCCGCGGCTCCGCGAGGGGGCGCGGCGGCGGGGCGGGGCGGGGCGGGCGGGGCTCGCGGCGCGGCGCGGCGCGGCGCGGAGCGGGCGGCGGCTGCCTGGGGCATGGCTGAGGTGAGTGCGCTCCGCGGCAGCGCGGTCCGGACCTGGGGCTGAGCTCCTGGGCTCGCCCTGGAGGTGGGCTGGAGCACTTGAGGTAGGGTAGGGTATTCGATTCGGTCTCTTGTGTTCGCTTTCCTCTTTCCCGTCCCCGCGGTATCGGAACTTTCTCTCTCTTTTTTTTTTTTTATTTTTTTTCCCGTTATATTTCTTTATGTGTTCATTTACCTGGCGTAAGCATTCGGGGAGCTGTTTTGCCGACAAGTTTCAGGTTCTCCTCCAGCTTGTTAAGTTCTCACCTGAGCGCCCACCAAGCAAAGAAAATCCGTCTCTCACGAGGTCCCACTTGGTGTCTCTGCGGTAACAAAGAAAACATATTCTTCCTAATTTGCTGTGAAAGGTAGTTTGCTGCTTTGTAGGTGGATCAGGGTGAGCTCTAGATGGAGAATTTTCCTCTGTCATCGTGTCCCCTTGGTTGCTAAGCAGTGGTGACCACATCTGTGAAAAGATGGAAGAAGCACAGAGGGGAGAGCAACAGGAAAAGCCAGGAAGAGCAGCAGAATCTCCTCTTGGGCAGCCTTATCTGCTGGATATTCTTCTAGAGAACTAACACCAATGCATTAATCCTTCTTATGTGCCTCTTTCCTTAACTCTAAACTTTTGGCATTCCAGCTTACAGTTCAGGTGCAGCAAAGTTATTTTGTTCAACCAAATTGATTTGTCGTGACTTTTATACAAAGAGAAGTCATTTAGAAAAGTGCACTTTGTGCTTCCCATGGGTGGTACTGCTTCAGCCTCAAAAAAAAAAAAAGTCTTGATAGGAAAAGAAATGATGGGAACAGTCGTTTCACAGAAGTGTAAGGTGATTTACAAAAAGGAAGCTTTTAGTTGCAACAATTAATTTTAGTACCCTTTCAGATTTTGCTGTTGAGCTTGAGGACTCCAATGTATTTAATGTTTCTTTGTTCACTAAAATATCTCATAGTTCGTGGATTATAATAAAAAAAATTCTAGTCTGAGTGGGGTGCAGAAAGAAAAACTAAGCTGTGGAAGGGTATATTTAATGTTATTTTTCCCAGTTGAACTAGTTGAGCTTGAGCAAATATGTGCATCTGAGTTACTAACAACAAAAATCCCCCATAAAACAACAACAAAAAAAAAAACTACCAAAAAAACAGCAATCATCGAAAACCCCAAACCAAAAGAAAACCACCCACCAACTCCCCCAAAATTAGTGTTCCAGTATGACTTGTT